AGATTTCTTGATGAATGATCCACTCTTCCCTCTTGTCCCATATGTTCTCTTTGTTTTCCGGATGGAAGCCTTGGCTTCGCTTCAGCCCTCACTCATTGCCGCAGACTTTCAAACTGATGATTGTGAGTTTCTCCTGGAAAGATAAACAAGAAATGCAATTTCTAAATGCATAACTTTCATCATGCCCATATTCAAAATAAGCAATGATTATCATCTGCGTCGCCTCCCTTCCTCTAAAACTGTTAAATTAGAAAAAGTGCAACCTAAAAATGTAGGGTTTTGGATTAGTTTTTCCCTTAATGTCATTCTCAGAAGAAATGGAATTGCTTTCTGTAAAATATATATCTAGATTGTGAAATGTGATGGGTCCATGCTGTTTATGTAAATATAGACGATTTTTCTCTTCTTATTGTTCCTGGACAGGCAATATTTAAAATTTATATTACAGTACTAAAAGCAGATGGGAGCTGAAATGATCCCTGTGTGTGCCTGCATGCATCCAGGGTTTGGCGGAGATGGTTATTGGGAAACCAAGCCAGACAGGTGGAGACAGGATCAGCACCTTGAATTTGGGATGGCTTTGTGTTGACTGTGTATAGTACCTAGTGATCTTACCACACAAAGAGAGAGAGAGAGAGAGAGAGAGAGAGAGAGAGAGAGAGAGAGAGAGAGATTTTCAGTTCAAAGATAAGCCAGCAATTTTATTTTGATTGTTTGATTTTTGTTATTTTAAAACCGGAGTCAGCAACCTTTTGACAACAAGTGCATTTTTAACTGTTATTGTTACTTACTGTGTCACACAAAGTTTTTATTTAAGCCAACAAGTTTAATTATGATAAGGTGAAAATAAGATAAAATAAAGAAAATACATTAATGGACATTTTTAAAAAGGTTTCTCCTGAAATAATTTTAGAATCTTTGTCACGTAGTAAGTTGAAAGACTCTATATAATTGTTATTGCTATTTTAGTTTATATTTTTATTTTTTGTATGTTGACTTTTTAAGACAAAATTGTTAAATTATTGTAAACATTATGTTTGAATGATGCAATTGAATTATTTTTGCCATGAATATAGCCATTGCTGCTGACATGGCGTTAAATAATAAATAAATAAAATAAAACCACTTGTCTAAAATAAAATAAAATAATTAAATTAAATTAAAATAATCTAATATTGCAGTGATTTACGTGAAAATTTTGGAATGATAAGCTGACTGATTAAAGCAATGCAAGCAATTCAAATGAAAGACATACAAACTATCTACTAAAGAAAAAAATCTGTTGCAACTCGCATCCTTTAACTTAGTACCATAGTATTTTTTTGTAAATAAAATGTGTACAATTAAAATAAAAATGAAATATTTATAGCTGACAATTTTTTTCTGCTGTGGATACTTTTGTCCCACTTCACTTATTTCAAGTATTTTAATTCCTTTTATCTCATAGCTAAATAAGACAGACTGTGTGACGATGTGGAAGTACTATATCAAGAAGCTTTTGGCATGTCGATGTGAGCAAAAACTACGTAAATTAAATGCATGCAATATTCTGTTGCTAATCCTGATGTAATATGTTTAGACAAGCTTAAATATATTTACACACCGATACATGTACTAAGCTTTCATTCATGCCGGCCCTGATTTGGATGGTGGTCAGATGGCGGCATCAAACCCAACACGCAATGGATGAAATATGAACACTGGTTCTGTCTGTAAACACCTAAAAATATGAAATACCAAATGCCAATACATTTAGACAAGAATAAATAACAATAAGTAAAAATGATAAAAACAAAGCATGTTTCTTTCTCTCAATATGTCCTTCTGACAGACTCTGAAGGTGACGCTGGTCAAAGGAAGTTGCCAGACGTGCGCAAGGATGACATGTCTGCCCGTCGCGTGTCCTACAAAGAGCCTCGCGCAGCTCTACCCTTTAATCAGTATCTGCCGAACAAAAGCAACCAAACCAACTACATTCCTGCCCCCCTGAGGAAGAGGAGGAGCGAGAGAGAGGAAGACTGGAGGAGTCTGAGCAACTCAACATCTCCTGTAGGAGGAGAAAGACCTCTCAGGTAATCACAGCCGCTGATGATAAACAGTAAGTGTTTGGTTTGTTTGATTTCTCAGGAGGTTGCTGGAAATCCGTCTTCTGGCTTCAATGTGGCTGAGACACATCATACATCTAAACAAAAATCAGTACACACAAGCATCATCTGTATTCATCTGTCCGAGTTTGTTTGATTCATTCTGTATTATCTGCGTGTTGGTGAGCGCTGTGAAAATCCCATTGCTCCCCACAGACAAGAGCGTGTAGAAGTATTAAAAGAGGGGGCTGTCGCATCTCGCAGCCTTGCGCTCCAGAAAAATTTCACCTGGGCGGATGAGAAAGGGGCAGAGCTTGAGGAGGCAGAGCTTAAGAAAATGAGGAAGCTGGAAAAGGCGGGAATTAAAGTATTACCTACCTCTGTGCGATATAACAGGTCAGCGGTTGAATGCATGTGTATGGAGCGACTAAAAATGCTAACTAGTTGTGTGTAGGGCCTAGCAGTTAAACACAAAGCTTGTGTGTTCAAAACCATAAGTTGTCATCTAACCCCAGGTTGCTTTGTCGGGAGTGACCCTGTGTACTTTTGTTTTGGATTTGTGCTGCTGAGAAATGTTTATTCTACATTATGGCATGGAGTGACACAGTTGTGAATTAGCTTTAGCCTTTGTAGCTTAGCTAATGTTTTGATTAATTGGATGTAACACTGACTACTCTGAATCTGTGCTAGGTTGAAATGAGGAGTGTGTGTGTGTTGTATTGGGTTGAGCATATTATGCTAGTTATGCTAATTTGACTTATTCTGAAGCCCTAATGTCTGCATCACCTCCTGATATGGAAGGACTAACATCTCTCCGTTATAGAGTGCAACAGTTGGGTTAGTAAAGTAAAAATCCCATCTGTTTCCTCCACAGGGGAGTTGATTTTGAACAAAAGCTTTTAAAGAAAAACCTACTTATGGTTTTGTTGAAGCCATCAGTCTACATTATTTCAACTTGTTTTTAAGTAGTCATGTTCAAAAGGGGAATTCCTGGTGAAAATCTGAAAAACAATTACCCATGATTCTGCAGAGAAATCTCCACCAATCAGAGAACCGTGACAAGAAAAATGCATTTAAAAAACTCTTTAGCACCCGGCCACTGTCATGAAGCAAATAATGTGGAGTCAGTTTGCCTGCGCTCTCAAACAACTTAAATATTTGTATGCATGAAATGTATATTTTTCAATAAACCTAATATATGAAAACCTTTTCAATAAACCTAATACATACCCCTTGCAGAATATGCAAAATGTTAATCATTTTGACAAAATAAGAGGTATCATGAAAATTGCATGTTGCTCTTTATTTAGTACTGTCCCGAATAAGCTATTTCACATAACAGATGTTTATATATACTCCACAAGACAAAATAATAACTGAATTTATAAAAATGATCACGTTCAAAAGTTTACATACCCTTGAATTTTAATACTGTGTGTCGTTTGCTGGATGATCCACGACTGTTTTTGAGGGACTCATACACAACTATTACAAAAGGTGAAAACATTTACTGATTCTTAAGAAGGCAATACAATGCAAATGGTGTACATTTTTTTAATTGGATGATCAGAGTAATCGTACTTAGTCTTCTGGGAAGCATGAAAGTATTTATGTAGCTTCTGAAGTGCAGTACTAAATGAAAAAAATATGATCTTTAATCAAAATAAGAAAAATGTACACATCATCATCCTGTTCAAAAGTTTACACCTCTTAATGCATCGTGTTTCCTTCTTGAGCATCAGTAAATGTTTTCACCTTTTATAATAGTTATGTATGAGTCCCTCAGTTGTCCTCAGTGTGAAAAGATGGATCTCAAAATCATACAGTCACTGTTGGAAAGGGTACAAATATGCAAAAGATGCTGGAAAACCAAAGAATGTGTAGGAGCTGGAGAATTTTTCTGAAGAACAGCAGGCAGTTTAACTGTTTAGGACAGACAAGGGACTCATGAACAACTATCACAAAACATAAAAACAGTCATGGATCATCCAGGAAACAACACACAGTATTAAGATTCAAAGGTATGTAAACTTTTGAACGGGGTCATTTTTATAAATTCAGTTATTATTTTTTTCTTGTGGAGTATATATAAACATCTGTTATGTGAAATAGCTTATTCAGGACAGTACTAACTAACATGCAATTTCACGATCCCTCTTATTTTGTTAAAATTATTAACATATTTGCATATTCTGCAAGGGGTATGTAAACTTATGAGCACAATTTTATATATATATATATATATATATATATATATATATACAGTATATATAATCAATATCTTTAAATCAATGAATGGGAAAAATACTTGCAGAACAAAGCGCTGTTGCACTCTATTTTTTTTTTTTATTTATTCAAATTTTGTCATGGCAAATTTTCTCCTCAGTCCAATTGTGAATCCAGTGGAGGCCAGTAAATCCAACCCACCTTCATCTGACATCATTCTCCGACATGACAATGAGTTCATGCGGGCCGCCGCTCCACATCAGTGGGACTCCAATGAGGAAGATGATGATGAAGAGGCAGAACGGAAGGTTCCAGATGTCCAAAAGGATGACCTTGCTTCTCGCAGAGCACGCATGAATCAATTTAAACCCAGTGTGGCACATCACTTCCTGCCAGGCTCTTGTAGCTGGAAGGACCGAGAAAAATGGGAGGGAATCAGGCTGGCATCCCAGCATGCCGTGTTGGAAAGGATGGAGAAGATGGCACAGGAGAAAAGAAGGTGTGCTTGTGACAGAGCGTGATGGCGTCTCATGCTCAGGGACTAGTTATGTTGGCTTTACAAATCTAACTTGATGTTATTGGGCAAATTTGGGTCAGAGTTTTCTTATAGGCCACATTTACACTGCAAGTGACCCAATTCCGATTTTTTTCATCCCATGTGGCACAGATCGAATATGGCCCACGAATGTGTAAGAAGGAAAAAAGCTCATGGATTCCGATATTCTCAGATCAGTTTCAGGCCTCATTCATATGTGGAAATAAATCTGATATGAATCGGATACGTGTATTTGCGCCTGCCGTGGATGTCAAAATTTTTGGATGACAATTGTTGGATGTCAAATGTTTTTGAAACATCTCGCAGTACAGATATATCTATTACAAATGAAACATCTCTAGTTGACTAGCAGAGTATTAATTTTGTTCATTTGTGTTAAATAAGAGGCGATCTGGCGCTGAAATGTGTTGCTTTTAAAATCATGCTGAGTGTTCGTTGCCGCTGTTATCAGTGATGGCGACATGTGCACAGACGAGTGCTTCAATCTATTGCTAACTGTTAAAGATTCCTACTTAAACTTGACTGACTTGACACATTACTTCAGCCTGTTCTTTCTTAGTATGCTTTGTTTTTTTTGACTGATCTGGCTTTTGATTTTTTGGTTAATCTTTCCTCTGCTTTAAGCCCAACCAGAACACCACAGCAACTGCTTAGCAACCACTTAGAACACTCACTGCTTAACTACCATAATTCTGTCATAACAACTTTCGGAAGTTTAGCATGGTAATATACATGGCAATGTTATTGGAATTTGGTTGAATAGATCTGCTACGCTGCTGCTGTGGCAGAGCAAATACATAGACTTGCTACAGCCAAGACATCCACATATAGGCTGCTGTGAGCGTGTAAGAAATGCTGCTGCTGCACATATAACATACATGAAATTACCCCGTAGCAGATCTATACAGGTGGAGCTGGGGAAGGTGGAGGATTTCGGAAGCGTGCTGCAACTGCTACAGCCAGCACTAGCCAAGAATTTGAACACTGAGCAGCAAGCTCATTGGCTGCTGATGCGAAAAGAAACCAATTAGCTGCGCCATCTAGAGTTTCATGACAGAACTTTGTATTACAATGCATTGTCGGAAAAATTAACTAGCTAGTGACGACTGTTTTCTGATACCATTGTAACTTTATTGTATTGTCATTTGAACCACATTGGTTAAAAAATAACTGCCGTTGATGGTTCTGCTAGAGAACATATGCACATGCATGCTTCAAAAAATGGTGCTTTCATTATCATGACGAGCTAAATTGAGACCGCAAGTCAACCTGTCATACTAAAAAGAAACTATTCTAAACACAGGAGGAGAGTTGTAGTTTCGACCATACAACTTTACGATGTTTGCGAATGTTTGTTGGAACTTTGGTTTCGGGAAACAGAATCATCGAGCTATGTTGCTAACTATGAACTTGCATCCATAGTTCTATGGTCAATATTGGTATTGTTGATGTTTTACGTGGGATTTATGGGTCCGCTTTTTTGTATTGCTTATAATGTTACATTTCTACCACAGTCAGGCTGACTCCGCCTCCCCTGAGGTGCCAATCATAACTCATAAGGACAACCCTTTCCTGAATCCTGAAAAAGACAGGGGAAAAGAGAGGGATGAGGAAGATGAGAAAGAGGTAGAGGGGAAGATAGTTGTCCCAAACCCACACAAAGATGATCTAGCAAGGAGGCGGATTAGGGGAGGGCCACGCCCTCCGAAAGATGCTCATCAGTCATTGGTCCAGACTTCCATCACTCAGTCAGACCTGGAGACATGGCAGAGACTCAAGATGAGCACAGATAGCAGGTGCCTCGAAACAAACACACACTTCTCTCACACTTCTGCTCTGTATACGCACAATTGAGCACAGTATCAAAAATGAACATTAATTGAGCACAGAATAATTTGACTGCGTTATTGGTCATTTGGCTGGTAACTTTATTAGGAACTGTAACATAATTCATGGTTTGAATTTTACACAAAGACTGTGATCCTGGAAGGGACTGAACATTTGGAAGAAAACAATAACTAAATAATCCGATTGTTATAGGGACGAATAAATAAATAATAAGTTAAAAAAATGCTAAATACAGTTTTTAGGTTGGTAAAAATATTTCTAATATGATTAAATTAATATTTGAATTTTATTTAAATATCAATATTTTAATATATACATTTAAATAATTATGCAAAATATTTAAATTCACTTGCAAATTGCATGTGTGGCAAAACGTTAATGTCATTCCTCCTGCTAAGCTCAGTGTATCCATCGTACTGATCTACAGTGAGTCTGACTCCACCGGGGCTGAAGTGTCAATCATAACTCACAAGGACAGCCCCTTCCTGACCCCTGAGAAAGACAGTGAGAGTAAGCAGGAGAATGAGGAGGGAACAGACAGAGAGAAAGGGATGAGTGTGGTGATGGCTGATGTAAAGACAGACGACCTGGCCAGAAGGCGGGGACCTGCTCAGGACCAACGAGGGACTCATGAACAACTATCACAAAATATAAAAACAGTTGTGGATCATCCAGGAAACACACAGTATTAAGATTCAAAGGTATGTAAACTTTTGAACGGGGTCATTTTTATAAATTCAGCAACACACAGTATTAAGATTCAAAGGTATGTAAACTTTTGAACGGGGTCATTTTTATAAATTCAGTTATTATTTTTTTCTTGTGGAGTATATATAAACATCTGTTATGTGAAATAGCTTATTCAGGACAGTACTAACTAACATGCAATTTCACGATCCCTCTTATTTTGTTAAAATTATTAACATATTTGCATATTCTGCAAGGGGTATGTAAACTTATGAGCACAATTTTATATATATATATATATATATATATATATATATATATATACAGTATATATAATCAATATCTTTAAATCAATGAATGGGAAAAATACTTGCAGAACAAAGCGCTGTTGCACTCTATTTTTTTTTTTTATTTATTCAAATTTTGTCATGGCAAATTTTCTCCTCAGTCCAATTGTGAATCCAGTGGAGGCCAGTAAATCCAACCCACCTTCATCTGACATCATTCTCCGACATGACAATGAGTTCATGCGGGCCGCCGCTCCACATCAGTGGGACTCCAATGAGGAAGATGATGATGAAGAGGCAGAACGGAAGGTTCCAGATGTCCAAAAGGATGACCTTGCTTCTCGCAGAGCACGCATGAATCAATTTAAACCCAGTGTGGCACATCACTTCCTGCCAGGCTCTTGTAGCTGGAAGGACCGAGAAAAATGGGAGGGAATCAGGCTGGCATCCCAGCATGCCGTGTTGGAAAGGATGGAGAAGATGGCACAGGAGAAAAGAAGGTGTGCTTGTGACAGAGCGTGATGGCGTCTCATGCTCAGGGACTAGTTATGTTGGCTTTACAAATCTAACTTGATGTTATTGGGCAAATTTGGGTCAGAGTTTTCTTATAGGCCACATTTACACTGCAAGTGACCCAATTCCGATTTTTTTCATCCCATGTGGCACAGATCGAATATGGCCCACGAATGTGTAAGAAGGAAAAAAGCTCATGGATTCCGATATTCTCAGATCAGTTTCAGGCCTCATTCATATGTGGAAATAAATCTGATATGAATCGGATACGTGTATTTGCGCCTGCCGTGGATGTCAAAATTTTTGGATGACAATTGTTGGATGTCAAATGTTTTTGAAACATCTCGCAGTACAGATATATCTATTACAAATGAAACATCTCTAGTTGACTAGCAGAGTATTAATTTTGTTCATTTGTGTTAAATAAGAGGCGATCTGGCGCTGAAATGTGTTGCTTTTAAAATCATGCTGAGTGTTCGTTGCCGCTGTTATCAGTGATGGCGACATGTGCACAGACGAGTGCTTCAATCTATTGCTAACTGTTAAAGATTCCTACTTAAACTTGACTGACTTGACACATTACTTCAGCCTGTTCTTTCTTAGTATGCTTTGTTTTTTTTGACTGATCTGGCTTTTGATTTTTTGGTTAATCTTTCCTCTGCTTTAAGCCCAACCAGAACACCACAGCAACTGCTTAGCAACCACTTAGAACACTCACTGCTTAACTACCATAATTCTGTCATAACAACTTTCGGAAGTTTAGCATGGTAATATACATGGCAATGTTATTGGAATTTGGTTGAATAGATCTGCTACGCTGCTGCTGTGGCAGAGCAAATACATAGACTTGCTACAGCCAAGACATCCACATATAGGCTGCTGTGAGCGTGTAAGAAATGCTGCTGCTGCACATATAACATACATGAAATTACCCCGTAGCAGATCTATACAGGTGGAGCTGGGGAAGGTGGAGGATTTCGGAAGCGTGCTGCAACTGCTACAGCCAGCACTAGCCAAGAATTTGAACACTGAGCAGCAAGCTCATTGGCTGCTGATGCGAAAAGAAACCAATTAGCTGCGCCATCTAGAGTTTCATGACAGAACTTTGTATTACAATGCATTGTCGGAAAAATTAACTAGCTAGTGACGACTGTTTTCTGATACCATTGTAACTTTATTGTATTGTCATTTGAACCACATTGGTTAAAAAATAACTGCCGTTGATGGTTCTGCTAGAGAACATATGCACATGCATGCTTCAAAAAATGGTGCTTTCATTATCATGACGAGCTAAATTGAGACCGCAAGTCAACCTGTCATACTAAAAAGAAACTATTCTAAACACAGGAGGAGAGTTGTAGTTTCGACCATACAACTTTACGATGTTTGCGAATGTTTGTTGGAACTTTGGTTTCGGGAAACAGAATCATCGAGCTATGTTGCTAACTATGAACTTGCATCCATAGTTCTATGGTCAATATTGGTATTGTTGATGTTTTACGTGGGATTTATGGGTCCGCTTTTTTGTATTGCTTATAATGTTACATTTCTACCACAGTCAGGCTGACTCCGCCTCCCCTGAGGTGCCAATCATAACTCATAAGGACAACCCTTTCCTGAATCCTGAAAAAGACAGGGGAAAAGAGAGGGATGAGGAAGATGAGAAAGAGGTAGAGGGGAAGATAGTTGTCCCAAACCCACACAAAGATGATCTAGCAAGGAGGCGGATTAGGGGAGGGCCACGCCCTCCGAAAGATGCTCATCAGTCATTGGTCCAGACTTCCATCACTCAGTCAGACCTGGAGACATGGCAGAGACTCAAGATGAGCACAGATAGCAGGTGCCTCGAAACAAACACACACTTCTCTCACACTTCTGCTCTGTATACGCACAATTGAGCACAGTATCAAAAATGAACATTAATTGAGCACAGAATAATTTGACTGCGTTATTGGTCATTTGGCTGGTAACTTTATTAGGAACTGTAACATAATTCATGGTTTGAATTTTACACAAAGACTGTGATCCTGGAAGGGACTGAACATTTGGAAGAAAACAATAACTAAATAATCCGATTGTTATAGGGACGAATAAATAAATAATAAGTTAAAAAAATGCTAAATACAGTTTTTAGGTTGGTAAAAATATTTCTAATATGATTAAATTAATATTTGAATTTTATTTAAATATCAATATTTTAATATATACATTTAAATAATTATGCAAAATATTTAAATTCACTTGCAAATTGCATGTGTGGCAAAACGTTAATGTCATTCCTCCTGCTAAGCTCAGTGTATCCATCGTACTGATCTACAGTGAGTCTGACTCCACCGGGGCTGAAGTGTCAATCATAACTCACAAGGACAGCCCCTTCCTGACCCCTGAGAAAGACAGTGAGAGTAAGCAGGAGAATGAGGAGGGAACAGACAGAGAGAAAGGGATGAGTGTGGTGATGGCTGATGTAAAGACAGACGACCTGGCCAGAAGGCGGGGCCAAAATGGGCCTGTCCCACAGAGGGACCCCCGTCAGTCATTGGCTCAAACTACCATCACTCTGTCAGACCTGGAGAAATGGCAGAGGCTCAAGATGAATACAGAGAGCAGGTGCCTGACATGTGACCTTTACCTTTGACCCTAACCTAACATGCTTCAAGTTTTTTTTTTAAGTTTCACACTGAGCTTATCTAATCCAATTTTATGTTTTATGTGTTTTTAACACATAAAACAGATGACACACCAGTTTCTGAAATGAAGCTATTTGTCCAAGAAAATAACCTTTTTTTCTGGTATGTGTCCTAACCAGACATGATGTAATAAAGCAACAGGCAATAGATTTTTTTCCATGTTAATTCTATCCATGAGTATGCTATTTGATAGAGCAGGGGTTATAAAATGTTTTATTAATTTTTTATAATGTTATTTTATTTTTAATCTTGCTTTGCAGAATATTTTCCCACTATGTTGTCAACCTTAGAAAATGCTATTCAAAATACACTGTAGTTCACATGTTTGGGATCAGTAAGATTTTTTTTTTATTCCACAAGGATGTATTAAATTGATTAATTGTGACATTAACGACATTTATAATGTTACAACAGAGTTATATTTCAACATTAATAATAATTGTAAATGTTTCTTGAGTACTAAATCAGTATATGAGAATGATTTCTGAGGGATCGTGTGACACTGAAGAATGGGGTAATGATGCAGAAAATTCAGCTTTGCATCACAGGAATAAATTACATTTTAAAATATATTAAAATAGAAAAGTTATTTTATTTATATAAATTGTACTAAAATATTTCACAGTATTACAGTTACTGTATTTTTGATCAAGTAAATGCAGCCTCGGTGAGAATAAGACATTTGTTTCAAAAACATTTAAAAAAACGTACCGATCCCAAACTTTTAAACAGTAGTGTAAGTTCAAGAAGTTCAAGGTATATTGTGACATATGTATAAAAAAGACGCTCAGTTAATTTATATATATATATATAGGTGCATCTCAATAAATTAGAACGTCGTGGAAAAGTTAATTTATTTCAGTAATTCAACTCAAATTGTGAAACTCGTGTATTAAATAAATTCAATGCACACAGACTGAAGTAGTTACATGCATACTTATATGGCTGCTTGTGTATATATACTGTATACTGCTTGTAAGTAGGGAGTATGTTCTTCATATATGTATTGATTAGCTGTGATTGTGTGCCGACACACTGTATTTTTGCTGTCAGTGTAGACAGACAAATTACTTGCTGCTGAAAAAGTATTACGTCTGGTTAAGACACAGTGTGAGCCTAAAATATTTAAATCGGTCAAAGCTTACAGCCAAGAAGCTTGGTCTGTCATTGGCTTGAGTGCTGCGTAATAGGGCTCTGTCTTGTTACGCTGTTGTGGAGATGTTTGTTAAAGTGGGCCTTTGTGAGACTCTAAATTCTGTTTGCAGAGGGAAGCCCCTCTCTAGCAAACAGACGTCACCAAGGCAACTATTGAAAGCAAGAGATGCTCACAGAGAACGAGGGAGGGGAGCATGTGAGTGTTAGACCACATACTAAACCGTTGTAGAAGAGCCAAGGCTGTGTGTGTCATTCCTTCAGTATAGTCATTTCCCTTTTGTATGTTTAAAAAGGCCATGCTTGCATCAGCGTCAGTGGGTTTATTTGGAAATCACACAAATTCCCGTCCAGACATCCATGACAATTCTCTTTATATCATTGACTTGACATGGTCTTTCTGCACTAGTATTTTTTAGTTTTCATAATTTCTTTCCCTCTGCTCCTCTAATTCTTCTTTCTTTCTCTTCTTTACTTACATGTGTCATGTATGTGTGTGCGTGTGAATAGCGATGACCCTATTGTCCCTCTGTGTCAGACGTGTCTTGAGAAAGGCAGCCGCTCTGTTGCATCCAAGACGAAGGTTGCCAAGAACGACCTGGCCAGTTGCCGAGAACGTTCCTCCGGTGAACGGCGGCGTTTTGTGACATTTGGGGGTGTGACAGAGATGGAGAGTACTTCCTGGAAAGAGGAGGAGGAGGATGAGGAAGAGGGAGAGGGACAGGGGGACGAGGCAGAGAAGCTTCGATATCTCCTCTCGATGGCACCTGTTGCTGTGCCCACCATAGGGCTGGGCTCCATACTGACAAAGAGAGTGGTTGGCAGGTAGGGAGAGAAAGAAAGGCAGGAGGAGAAAGATACATGTGCAAGAAATACATGCACATTCAAGCACAACAGAACAAAATGTGCACTTTTTTTTATTGTTTCCCTGAGGGTCATTGATAATATAGTAGTATAATATATATTGTAAAATAATATTAATTATATATATGTAATACTTAATATATATTACACTTAAAACAGTTTCTGATGAATATTTTTCCAGCGCAACCATTAGTATTTTTGCTACTTTAAGACTTCTGTGTAAATGTTGCATGGAAAAAGAATAAGTATTGAATATGTAATAATATAAAAATGTAAAATATATAAAAAATATATAAAATCATTTAATATATTATATAAAAATAAATTATGTATATTATATATAAGTTATTTTATAAAATACTGTATAAAAATATGTCAAATAAAAAAGGTAATTGTGAGAAAGTTTAAAATAAAATACAAAATCAATTCTAAGATATAGCCTGAATTTGTATTTAAAATATAAATTAGCTTATTGTTTAGTATATTCCAACTAGATTGATATAATTTTTTGCCTGGTGCTTAAGGTGTGTTCATGCCATGTTGGAAATATCGTAATTGAGATTCCAACTTTAAAAAAAAATTGTTCACATCCTCCGAAAACTCATAATTACAACTTGTAAATTCTCAACTTTTTGAGAGCTCTGACTCGTACCACGTGACTGCCACAACATCATGCGGAAACACTCAAAATGGCAACGGCTTCAGCTGTAAAATGTAGTTTAGCAGTTAATATTGAGTTAGTCAACAATAGTCAATTATAGCAATTCCTATAATTGACTGTTAATGTCTTAATGATGCAAGGATAATCTAAAAATAAACGAAAGACGAAGTTTGATGTTGCTAGCACAGAGTTGAGTAAATAGCTAATGTTCCACTAAACTATGAGTTTATTAATGGTTCATTTGCATAATTACTTCTTATATTGGGGTTTTGTAAATTGATATTACACACATTCATTTTGGTGTTAATAGTGTTGACACGGAAAAGCATAATTCCGAGTTTGTGAACAGCTTCGAGTAACATCCCAGTGGTCATCTAGTATTTACAGTAGCCTAATTGTGAAATGGCATGAACACAGCATTGGTTTCTATCCTATTTCATTGTTTACTTCACAATATGACCCCTTTTAGACAGTGCTCTTTTTTTTTTTCTTAGAATCGAGCCGTATTAGTGATGTGAAGTAGCCTATACTGACACACTATTACAAACACTGCTTATTGATGACTGCCTGCTCTCAGGAGCCAAGTTTTGTTTATCAAATGATCTGGATGTACATACTCACCCTCACAGTGTGTTGGAGTTTGAAAATGTGTGTAGTGATCTTAGCAGTGATGCTGCATTTACAGGGCATGTTGGTTTCATCTCACTGGAGTTTATGAAGCTGGAGGACATGTGCCTTAAAAGACTGTTAGCATGATGCTAACAACTGTGGCACCAACCCTGTTGAAAAAAACAGCATATGCTGGTTAGGTATGTTTTGACGCTGGAATGCTGGTTTAAGCTGGTCCTTTGCTGGTTTATGCTGGTCATGTGCTGGCAAATGACCAGCATAAACCAGCAAAGGACCAGTTTAAACCAGCGAAGGGCCAGCATAAACCAGCAAAGGACCAGCATAAACCAGCAAAGGACCAGCTTAAACCAGCAAAGGACCAGCTTAAACCAGCAAAGGACCAGCTTAAACCAGCAAAGGACCAGCTTAAACCAGCAAAGGACCAGCTTAAACCAGCAAAGGACCAGCTTAAACCAGCAAAGGACCAGCTTAAACCAGCAAAGGACCAGCTTAAACCAGCGCTTAAACCAGCATCCCAGCGTCAAAACATACCTAACCAGCATATGCTGTTTTTTTTCAACAGGGCACTGAATGATGCTCGAAACTGTTCTTATTTAGGCTGTTTAGAAGAGCAATTGGGTTTATAGTTGAGGCTGTTAGCATGACGCTAATGATGCTAAAACTGCATTTGTTGGCCTGTTTGGGAGAGAAATTAGCTGTGAATGTTTTAGAGAGAGGCGGTTAGCATGATGCTGACAACTGTAGCAGTCATGAATAACTGCTCTTATTTGGGCTATTTAGGAGGGAAATTAGCTGTGTATGGCTTGCAGTGAGGCTGTTAGCATGATGCTAACTACTATAGCACCCACAAATTACATTAAAACTGCACCTTTTTGTCCTGTTTAGGAGAGAAATTAGCTGGGAATGCCTTACAGTGGTGGTTTGGACTGAAATATCTGACTGTCTGACTCTGAAGAAACAAGAAAAAAAGATGAAATATGCGTTTGTGCTTGTTTAAGAAAGTAATAAATTGTGTTTTGTAGTTTTGAGTAACTGCATTGCAGTTGCTTTGGTTCCCACTGGACTGCATCTTTCCTTGCCTGTATCTGCATTCTCTGTCCTTCCCTCTCATTGTTTCTCTCTTTCCTTCCACTCCTCATACATTATGAACTAACTTACTCAGTGGAGATGCAAACCCTGAGCCTGCTCCTATCGTGCCCCCTGAACCTCCGAACCCTGTCATGTTTGATCTTAAACGGCCTTTGACCTCCACCGAGCACAGGGTGCTGGAGGAGGAACTGGCTGAGAAAGCGAAGGATGAGAGGGAGGATGATGAAGAAGAGAGGCAACCGGATATAGAAAAGGATGACATGCTAGCTCGTAGAACAGGAGCATTTCAGAAGCCAGCAAATGGGACTTCATATAACAGATTCCTCCCGCAGCCGGGTTCCAAGAGAGACGGTGCTACAGTGGCTTCCTTAGCCCAGAAAGGAAGTATTCAGATGAGCACGAGTGGAGACGGAGATTTCCAATACCTGGAAAGAAACATAAAGACAAAGAGAACCAAAATTGGACAGAGGTGGGACAAGAAAGACTAACTGGAAGTCTGTCATTTATTTTTGTTGATAATGTATGAGTCTAACATGCTCTGTGTTGTGGTGGGAAAAAAAAAGTCTTTTGGGCATTTTTTTTTTTTTGAGCAAAAATATAGATAATGAAAGAGGCACAGAGTCATATCTAGAAAACAAAATGCTTGGGCCAGTAAACAACCTCCCAGTTTGCAATAGCAACCACCCAGAACACCGTAGCAATGAGCTAACAATCACTCAAAACATCTTACAGAACAGTTTATTTTTGAATGTATAAGTGAATGTATGTGTGCATTCGTTTTTAACCTGTTTGCATTACTTTTTGCCTTAGAGAGTATTGCACAAACTGAGTTTCTTTTGTCAAGTTAGTTATCAGCATATGCTGTTTTGACAGAAATGAATCAGTCGACCAAGTACCAAAGACACCCGTTCCAGTTGCTGTAGTAACAGAAAAGTGCCCTGACATTGTACGATTGTCTGCAACTAACGCCAATCGCCCTGGCATTTACAATGATGATGATGAATGTGGGGATGATGATCAACTACCAGATTTTGAGAAGGATGACATGCTTGCACGAAGGACTGGATCTTACCAAAAGCCAAGTGCAGGACAGGCTTTTAATGCTTTTCTGCCCAAACCTGGTGCTGTCAAACATAAAATCACCCCTGTCAGTGGATCGCAGTCACACCTGAAGCCTAGAGAGCAAGAGACAGCCCTGTCTCTGGACAGGTTAGGATGCTCTGGGAATGAAGCGCTTGCCTATGAATGCTCTGAATGCTGCTTTTGTGGCGTCAGTGCAAAGGAGAATTATTAACATGGGCCTTTTTAGATATGGTTTTGAACTTCTTGTGTGCAGTTGATTTTCAGAGTACAGCGAAGAGATGAATGTCTTGTGCATCAATGATTTTTGGTGGTTATTGCCTGTTTACTAATATGTGCGGCTGGCTTGGTGTTTCTTCACAAAAAATGAATTATTCTCCTTGTTTCTAGTCTTTGATTGATTTATAGCTCTCTCTCTCTCTCTCTCTCTCTCTCTCTCTCTATTGTAATGCATTTTATGATGTTGATACACAAAATATAGTCTTTCTCTTGTTTTTATACCAATATGGTATGTTTAATTGCAGTTTAAAACAAGTTAAAGATAAAATCTAAAATATCTTAACTTCTCTGTTTATAACTAAGTTTTCATCATTAATAACAGTTTTCATCATGTAATCTGTAATTAGTAACGGACTACAATTTGTAAGTAATCTATCCAGCTGTGTGTGTGTGTGTGTGTGTGTGTGTGTGTATATATATGTATATGTAATTGACACCCCTAATAGATATTTCAGCCTTTTAATTTTTGTTCACTCTGTTCTTTGCACTTGTTTTCTCTGGCGATTTGTGTTTTGTGGTCAGAGAACAGAGCCTCAGCCTCCCTTTCACAGCCCTGCTTTGCTTTAGTAACCATGGCAACTTTCTCAGCTTCACCCTTAGCTCTGTGGCCCCGCCCCCAAGAGATGCTGAGGACACGCCTAGGAAGTGCCCTCAGATGATGGACAGGCAGGAGGCGGGCTCTGTGGGTGTGGTGGGACATGAAAGTCTTATTAAAGATGAGACTATTACCAAAAGCCCCTCCCCCAAACCACACCAACCCTCACGTCGCCCCCTTTGGCAGGAAGACGATGATCTCCCCCCAATGTGAGAAAGCAATTTCAGGACCAATTTATTGCTTTTGAAAAGCACTCTGACTAAAATGTATTTTTGTATTTCTGCATGGAAAGAGATTGTGTCTCATGCCTGTATCTATGTGTTTTATCATTGCTCCTCTTTACTTCACTCATTGGTGCAATGGTTATCCTTAAAGGTGCTTTAAAGGGCTTTATTATTGAAGTAGCCTCTTTCATTTTAAGAGTTGACTGAATATTACTTACAGCACCTTTAAAGTCTGTATGAAATGCTGTTGACAGCCCATTTTACTGACATGTTTTGTGACATGAAGACACACACATACAGACATAGAAAATGTGAGCAATATAAAAAATTGTCTGTAAATTAAGCTATAAAAATGTACATTGCACAGTAGCTAGAAACTATATCAACATCTATCTATCTATCTATCTATCTATAGTATAGTTAGGCAACCTTTTATTTTGAGGGGTAATAAAAAATTTTTTTAAAAGGCCTATACTAAGTGTTCTATTATGTTTAACCATTTTTGTTCTTTAAAGCTCAACTTTATTTATATTGTTTTTTTGTTGTTGTTTTTTTAATCCATTAATGTTCTAGATTCAGAGCTACTAGTGTTTCTGAAACGGAGTAAGTTTCTTTTCCTTTCTCTCTGTCTTCTTACTGTTGCTGCAGAACTGAGCTGTTGCATGTACTGGTCAACACAAGCATTCAGCAGTGTCTCTATTCACATGCAGATACAACCATTTAAATTGTCATCTAAGTTCTCTCTTGCACTTTATGCATGCATATTCAGAAGCTGAGTAGTCAAAAGCCTGTGCCTACACATGCATGCAATAACATATATTTGAATCTTTCTCATGGTTTGCTGTGGCGGATGCTTTTGCTCCCTGGAGAAAATTGTTACACACACACACACTTATTTTCATAATCTCAATCCACTACAGCATACCCAGTTTTATTAAAGACACAGTTCAATGAAAAATGAAAATTCTGTCATCATTTACGTGTCACGTTGTTCTAAATCTATATGACTGTTTGAGGGGAAAAAGTAACAATGTGCTGCTCGCTCTTTTCCATGCATTTACAGTTCATTAGAGTTAACAAGCTTCAGAGGGATGTAAATATGACTTGTGTACATATTTAACATTTTATGAAGTCAATAGCTTTATATGAGAAACAGACTGAAACTGAAGATCAGCTTTCATGTCAGTTTTGTGAATTGGGATAAATATATATATATACATTTATGTTTATCAAAAGTGAAGATTTACTAAAATTAACAAAAATTTAATGTGGTATTTATGATAATATGGGTTTCGAACAACATGAGGGTTTCTTGAGCAATTAAGAAATGATGTTGTCATGTATATTAATCTACTTTTTCTTGTAGTTGTTCTGTTTGTATTGTTCATGGTCCTTATAACCATGTGTTGTTCTTCCACTAACATTTCTTCCACTTGTCATTCCTTGTTAACATCATAATAACATTTTATGTTTTTTTTCCTGAATTTCCTGTCTTCGTGTCTTCAGGTCAGAGGAAGAGATATAGTGTTATTTTTTTCTCTGGCTTTGATTGCACCTTTCCTTCTTCAGCTAAAAGCATTACAGCACTTGTAAACATGTCTATTTTTGTTTTTGTTATTCAAAGGAGTGTGAGTTTGATTGACATGCGTGATGAAGAGGATGAGCTTGCCTACCTTCAGCTGCACAGCCAATCACGACATGAGCACCTACACAACCAGTACAACAAACTCCGAGAGGAGGAGGACCAGTGGCAGGACGTGAGTCATCCAAACCCACAAAAGCACATGTTTAATGAGCTCACATGCATAAGTATGTACGTTTTCTGGCTTCTGTGTGTAGGACTTGGCTCGCTGGAAGAATCGGAGGCGAAGTGCATCTCATGATTTGATCAAAAAGGAAGAAGAGAGGAAAATGATGGAGAAGCTAATGTCAACAGATGGAGGACCCGGCCATCGCCGGAAGAGCATCAAGACATACAAAGAAATCGTTGAGGAGAAGTGAGACACAAATTGAAATCTCTATACCCTCCAGATTTGGATTTAGCAGATTTTGGAGGGGTTTAGTGAATATGAAGTGTTGGTATTATAAAACAGCCTGCAAAAGTGACTGTTTAGTGAAACTGACTTTTCAAGGGTCAATGACATGATGCTCTTTTTTTTGTCTATTTATTCATTTATTAACAAATACATCAGTGGCTTGACTAGAATACACCTTCTATGATCAGCATGTAATTTTTGGATTAAAATTCATTTAGATGATACATTTTTATTTTAATAATGTCAAGGTAATACAACTGTCCAGATATCATAATGAAGAAAAAAAGCCTAATTAAAAGAATGAAATTCTTGAAAAGTACACTGCTGGGGGTCAGTAGGAGTTTTTTTGTTTTGTTTTTTAAGAAATAAATACTTGTATTCAGCGAGGACATCAAAAGTGACAGTAAAGACTTTACATAATAATTAGAAATACGTCTTGAGAAATATTTCCAAAACCTTTTTATATATTTATCATGAATATTTGTCACTTAATTTTCTATTGATCTCACTCTCTCTTTTTCAGAGAGCGTAGGGAACATGAGCTACATGAACAATACTGCAAGGCCTCCACTCCAGAAGAAAAGGCAGCTGTGCTTCAACGCTATGCTCTCCGTTTCACCATCAGTGATGCCATATTGGAGAAACTCCAGCTCCCCAAACTGCCTCCTGCGGCCTCACCGATGCACACGCCACCTCTCCATCAGCCTGAGAAGAAGCTGACATGCACCACCTCAGCAGAAGCAGAGGATCAAGAGCCTCAACAAACTACCCAAACACACCACAGTGTCCATGTATACCAGAAGACTGCACAAAAACAGGCACCGGCACAGCGTGAAACCCCTGAGCCATCACCTGATGAGACCACCAAAGCTCCAAAAGTCCTGTCAGTGCCTACACGAGTTCCTCCTGCTCCCTCAAAGCCTGTACCCCTGATCACCCCAAAACCCTACAGCCAGCCCAAATTCAGCCAAGGCCTCCGCAAATCAGTGAAGGCAAGACTATCTTACGCAGGACTATAATCTCAAGAACCAATCATTCATTTAAGGATAATAATCAGCTTAAATAAATGTGTGTTCTCTGGTTTTATTACAGAGCGATGGGCTGATACGTGTGAATGGTGACAGGACTCAGCAAGAGAACAGAGAGAGGCTCGATAAAGATTCTGTGTCGTGTCCTCAAGTCGACTTATCTTCCTCACCTCCAAAGCTAGCCACACAAAGTCAACAAAATGAGGAGCTAATTGCTTTAGAAGCCTCAGACCACCAGCAAAGCTCACAGACTTCCGTTTCTGACCAGGAGGAAGAAGTCGGAAAGAAGGAAAAAGAATGTTCTCTTAGTCCTCAGGAAGAGAATAGCAAAGAAGACACCTCAACTACACTGTCGGTGTCAGAACCAGAAGGTTAAGGACTATAATATTAGCCATAGTTTTGAATATTCAGGGGTCGTATGATGAGAAATAAACATACTGACATACAATGAAGGTTTACTGTAACTTTCAGAAATCAAAACTTCTTCCCGAGTACAAAAAGACAATTCTTTTATAATTAAAGGGACAGTTCACTCCAAAATGAAAAGTATCATAATTCACACTGTATGCATTTCTTTCTTCTGTGGAACATAAAAGAAGATATTTAGAGAAATTTCACAGTGTTTTTTTCCATACAATGGAAGTCAATGGGCTCCAATCATGCTTGGTTCCCAACATTATTCCACAGAACAAAGACATGCATACAGGTTTGAAATGACAAAAGGGACCAAATTAAATAATGAAATAATTTTCCTTTTTAGGTGGACTATCACTTTAAGTAGCAAAAGCAGTTCAAACTTTTGCAGCTAGTCTCTTAGATTAATACATTGACACTTGGCTGCCCACATTTCACATCAGTGACACCTATTTGATAATCATAAACTTTACTGTAAGTGCAAATACATGCAAATTTCTAACTGAGCACAAAAAAAAGTGATTATGTGATGTAACCCATTTATAGCAGAGGTAGCACAGACTGAATGATTTTTATATTAACTTATAGTTTCCTATTTCATCAGGAAAGCAGCCAGTGCCTGACACAGTGATGAAGCGCAACTGTGTTGTCACAACAACCATCGTGACAGAGCTCACTCAGACACACCCCGTCCCACCAAATGACACGTCCAGCACAGAGCAGGTGGGCCTTGATTTCTCTCTTTTCACTTTTTAATAAAACACATATACTTGCAAACGAATTGAAGTATTGCAAAAATAAAATAAAGTTTTTCAAACGAAAATGAAAGTATTGAGAAAAAATAAATGTGACCCTGGACCACAAAACCAGCCATAAGGGTAAATTTTTTGAAATTGAGATTTATACATCATCTCAAAGCTGAATAAATAAGCTTTCCATTGATGTATGGTTTGTTAGGATACGACAATATTTGGCCGAGATACAACTATTTGAAAATCTGGAATCTGGGGGTGCAAAAAATCTAAATATTGAGAAAATCACCTTTAAAGTTGTCCAAATGAAGTCCTTAGCAATGCATATTGCTAATCAAAAATTAAGTTTTGATATATTTACGGTAAGAAATTTACAAAATATCTTCATGGAACATGATCTTTACTTAATATCCTAATGATTTTTGGCATAAAAGAAAAATCGATCATTTTGACCCATACAATGTTTTTTTTTGGCTATTGCTAAAAATATACCCCAGCGACTTAAGACTGGTTTTGTGCTCCAGGATCACAAATGTGCTTTTGCAAACAAAAATAAAGAACTGCAAAAGAAAATGAGGTATCTACTTACAGAAACGTTTTTTCATTAGTTTTGGAGTTGTCCTTATTCAACCAGTTTTTGGTTTGTTAGAAATCAGATCATGTCCAGCTTTCAACTTTGTTTTGAAAATATTTTATTTGTTTTTTTTTTCACTTATGACATGTCATTCCATGAGGAATGATTATTTCATTATTATTTGATTAATTTGTTACTCTTCCTGGCAAAGTTTAGTATACATAAATGCAAGTACGGCGATTATAAACCATTATTTCTAATTAAGTGTATTTATGTATGTAAACATTTCCATGTTTTCTTTTTTTTTTTTCTTTTTTTAATTTATTTATTTCATTGTAATTTTGTGTGGTTTTTTTTTCTTGTCTTCACCCCCTTGCTAATGTAAAATGTTGAATGTGAGTGATTCAATAAAAAAAAAATTAACCAGCAGCAATCTGGGAAAAAATTTTTTAAAAAAGAGAAGCTGAGTCAGCCGACTGCTCTTGAATCGCTCTCACGGTACTTTGATGCCATACATCACAGTGGCATGGCATCGGCTGTGTCTCTCTTTTTTTTTATCAATACATACATTTTAGGTTTTAATATTTGTATTGTGTGGTACTGTAGGTCACGGCTGAAGGGGTTGCAGGCACAAATGTCATGCATAAAAATGTCAAATGTCGGCTTCATGTCATGCATAAATATACAGCAAGGCCTCTCCTACCTTATTGCTTACAAGATGCTGTGTAATAAGCAGAGTAATATACAGGCAACTGATCGTTTTCTGACTGTATGTACAGCTGACTGTATATTATTCCTCACTTATTTGTAACACAGATCATTTTTGTCAGCATTTTATATCTTAATAGCATACCTTCCAAAAAATGAAGGTGAATGTGCTACTGTGTATTCTGTTGGAAACCTGCTTATGTTTCCACATTGACTGTGATGATTTTCTTTTTATTCGCCTCAGCTTGATTCAGTCCATAATTCATGTGATCTGAGCTCAGCTGCCGAGTCCACCAAGGCCGAGCAGACTTCATACTCACTCTCGCTGACAGGTAATACAACTCCACTTTCCACATCCACATTTCTCTCATAATGCCATGACCGAATTAGTCCCTTCTCCACACTTCTCACACTTTTTAGTCCTTCATTTACTTCCACTTAATCCTCTTTTGGGTTGCCTTTCTTTCTGGTTTATCTTTTTCTGCCTTTTTCTCTTGCTTTTTGTCTCTTTCATTGACTACCCCTCTTTCATTCGGTGTGCGTGTGGGTCTGTTAGGGTCCTCACATTCCTCTAGTAGCTCTAGGTTACGCTGGGAGTTCTTCGCTCCAACAGGTAAAACTGATAGATGAACTAATAGCACAGGGCTTCCATCTCCACGAACAGCAGATGATCCATCTGCTCATCTCTCGTTTGTTAGTCTCCTTTGACTTCTCCTGTTGAAATGTACTTGATTTACTAGCATATAGTATATTATTACTAGTATATGCAGTAGTAGAATGACAAAAACCTTTCACAGTTTCTTAAAGGGGTCATATGATGCTGCTAAAAAGAACATTATTTTGTGTATTTGGTGTAATGAAATGTGTTTATGCGGTTGGGCTGAAGTTGACGTATTTCCTCAGCAACCAGCACGGATCAGCTCTAGGCATGACGAAGCGGATGTCATCCTCTTTTGGAAGGCCAAGCAAAGTAGTTTTGCTTTCAGAACGAAACACAGCGCCTTCACGACATGGCGGCGGCAACAACAATACTACAGCGAGAATAAAAGTTACGCCTTTCTTTGCGTGAACATTTGGGCAGCGTTATGCAAATCTTCCCAGATAGTGACGTAGATATGTGGGGGCGTGTTAGAACGAGCCGTTTTAGGTAGGTGTGGCTGACTCTTAACTTTTATAAAGAATATCTCTTTGGATTTGAGACTTTAGTCTTTGCAACTTTACAGATCTTCTTTATGCACCAAGAGTTTGTAACACTCCAAAGAGAAAGGAAAAATTGAAATCGCATCATATGACCCCTTTAAGGAGGAGATTCATTTTGCCCACTCTCTCCTCAACTAAAGAGCTTTCCTTCTAAACATAGAGTGGTGTGTCATTTTGTCCTCATCAGGCATTTGTAGCATATCCATGACTATAGAATAGATTTATTTAATCTGATCATTGTACAGTCGTGCACAGAAATTAATCATGTAGGAATTAAGATGCTCTGTGTTGTTATATTGCTTTCTTTCTGTTGTTTTCATGGCTATATTCACTACTCTCAGAGAACAGATCCTCCTTCTTTGAGACGGGGTAGCTGCAGGGCAGAGTAATGGGCATGGCAAAAGGTGGCGTGCCGAAAGGTGAATGCTACAACAGAAACTAACCCCTAACCAATCAGAAAGACCTTTAAACACGCCCCTTACCTTTTGGCACGCCCTAATCTTTCACCACGCCCACTGTTCCAGCCTGCAGTTATCCCTACTCGCCTTCTTTTGGCTCAGCTTATACCTGGTATTCATATCCATCTCACGTGATAGAATCACACGTGGGCAGCTAAATACAGGTGTAAACCGGGTAGGGCTGCACGATTATGACAAAAATCATAATTGTCGATTATTCCCTTGAAATTGTAATTGCTATTATTAATTACGATTATCACAATTTACACTGAATGATGTTTATACCATTGTTTGAAGCAACCGCATGCCATATTTTTAGATGAAAATAAACAAGCTGAAAACACTCTAACTGAAAAACTTTTATTGCTTTTCTATAGTATTAAGCCTCAAATGTCAACTATACATTGGATTGGTTTCTTCTTTTAATAATAATTTTAAAAAAGTACAAATATTCATGATATTATAATGTTACACTAAAACTAAAATTAAAACAATGGAAAAACCCTTAAGATAACCTGTAGAAAGAAAAGAATAACATAAGTGGCCTCTGAACGATTCTGGTTTGAACGATGTAATCACGATTAGAAATTAGATTAATTGCGCAGCCCTAAAACAGGGTCCAAAATCTGTGATTGAAGCACTTGAACCACATTCAGAGGTGGTCAGATACACATGACCACTCTGCATTTGTAGTGTGAAGTCTATAAATATTGTCAAAATCTGATCAATAGTGGATACAGGAGATCAACTGGAGATGCATGGGAATAATTAATAATACGGTAAGTGTAAACAGAGATCACACGATGGATGTCAGTACCGAGTGTAAACAGATATTATGCCTCGCCACTTTATGTCTCTTACTCTCTCTCAATCTCTTTGTGTCATTTTAGTGTTTTATGCTCTGTGTATCTGTGTACCAGTTTGAGCTCCTGTGGTGTTATCGCTTTCATTAGCGTAAGAAGAGATGAATGAGAATATGATGAGTTTCTAAAGCCACTGTTCCCCTCTTCTTTCCTTCACAGAGGGGATTGACTACTCCATTGACTGTGTAAGTACTTACGTTGTGCCAAACTCACACTCATTCTTCATGAATGTCTCCTTATTTCCTCTTCCTGCATCTCTTTTCAGTCTTTTTTCTTTTGTTAGTCACTCATTGTAACGTTTTGGTCATTTCGGCTGCTGGTGTGCTCAGGGTGGCTTGAGGGAAACAGATTGTGTTGGACGTCTTTGCCGTTGCATTGCTTCTCGCTGATGTTTCAGCGTCTCACACCAGTAGCTTTACATTATGAGGACAGCGTGTTAAGTTAGAATACAAATAGTTAAAAAGTGTTAATGCATCTCAAAAACGTTTAGCATTCTGTTGCATTCAGCTGTTGTGTGTGCATCCTCTCTTCATACTGTTTAGAGTGCTGTTGCTGCCTTAATCACACTGCACACAATTCTGTGTTAGTTTAGTATTACTTATGTACTATTATACTATTTATTATTTTCAATGAGCTTTTATATTTATATTTTCAGTTTTAGTCATTTTTAGTATGTTTTTCATATAATTTTTTATTTATGTTTAGCTTTTTTATTTTTTTAGTTCTTCAACTTAAAAAATAGATATGTTGCCTTGGCAACTAAGTGAAATAAAATTGAAACTGATTTTTTTATATATATATTTAATTTAAATTTGACATCTAATACATTTTTTTATCTAATATTTATATTTTATGTTATTTAAGCTTATTGATTTCAGTTAAAGAAGGTGATTTTTAATAGTTTTAGCTTTAGTTATCGATGATGACACTTACACAGTTGTACACTTTGGCACTTTTTTTCAAATGGCAAAAAAAAAAAAATGTTCTGACTTTTAAAACTTTGAAATATTTCAAAAAATTTGAATTAGATTTCAGGCCAGTTATGCATGCGGTTTCAGTCTGGTTTGTAAACATTGGATTTCATGTGCGTTTATGAACTGCAAAATCTATAAAGATATAAGTATATTTTGCCAAAAAATAACCAACTGAAACAAGCCACCCAACAACAAGTATAGTACTGTAACAAATCACAAAATACAAAAATGAGTTGGAAAAAAAAAAAACCTCCAAGTTACAAAATTGATGTTTAATTATTGATCATTTCTGTACTTTTGAGTACTTGTGCTCATACAAGTTGGAACAGTGTAGGTGCACCCTGTCTTCTTACCTTCCTTTCCTTTTTTCCTTTCTATTTCTGTGCGTGTTTGTGTGTTTGTGTGTTTGTGTGCGTGTGTGTGTGTGTGTGTGTGTGTGCGTGCGTGCGTGCGCGTGAATCAGATTGAAACCCCAATGTTGAACCTTGCAAAAAGGGTTGACCACTGGACATGGGATCCTAATGAAGAGCGTAGACGGCAGGAGAGGTGGCAACAGGAGCAGGATCGCCTGCTGCAGGTACAATAGCCAGCTTGGGGTTTGTCTGAGAGAAGTGCGCACCTGCTGTTCTGTAGAGACAACTTCCTCTGTTGTTGTGTTCTGGTTAGCTGTTTCCCATCTGTTCCTGTCTACCATTCACCTTCTCTCAAATCTATCACAGTGTTTGCTGACTGTTGTATAACTAGAACCAAACTTGTATGACTTCTTCCTTCTGTGGAATATAAAAGGAGGAATTTTGAAGAATGTGTTGATTACTCTTGTCCATGCAGTTACAATAAATGAGCATTGAAGCTTTCAATTTTCATAAAGGTCACAAAAGCACTTGTGTATTTTTGTTGGTTTCATACATTACCGTTTAAAAATTTGAGTTCAGTAAGATTTTTTTAATAAAGAAATTAATACTTATTCAGCAAGGATGGATTCAATTAATCAAAAGTGACAGTAAAGACTTTATTGCAAAAAAAAATATTTCAAATAAATGCTGTTCTGTACTTTATATTCATCAAAGAATCCTAAAAAAATGCATCATGGTTTTCAGAATTTGTCCTTTCAAATTTGTCCTTTCTGTGTTCCACAGAAGAAAGAAAGTTGAAACAACATAAGGTTGAATAAATGATGACAGAGGTCTAATATTGAAGTGAACTGTTACTTTAATCCCTCTTTTTCTTTTTCTGCAGGAGAAATATCAGCGAGAGCAAGAGAAGCTGAAGGAGGAGTGGGAGAGAGCGCAGAGAGAAGTGGAAGAGGAGGAGAGGAGACACCATGAAGAGGTGCGTCTTCGAATTGTTCCACATGACATCTAATTGGTTCTTAATGAACACTAATTAGTTCTTAATTTATAGGAGAGACAGATACTGGAGGAAACCGTGACCCCACTGACCCCTCGCACCTCAGGTTTATCATCCAGTATGGTGACAGAGGCTCCGTCCCTCACCCAGCCCTCAGCCCCTCGTGACACCATTGTCCTCTCCTTGGCTGACTGGGAAAGGAAACAGGAAATGCTGGAGAAACGGGGGAACCAGAGTAACAGACTAACACACAGGTGGAATACATACAAAATCCATTAGAAAGCAAATATCCCTTTTCCAGCAGACTGGTGCTGATTATGGTGTTCAGCCAGACGATCTGAGAAACTCTCTCAGAACGGCTTGTGTTTCCACTGAGTCGAATGTTAACGTGACTGGTTTTGTTAAGATGGTAGCTTGCCATAGTAACAAAAAACCTATAAAAAAAATCAAATTTTAACATCCAACTTAATTTAATTCAGTGTCTTTGGGGTATAAAAAGCTGACTTTGATATACTCTGGCAACCTGTCATTGGAAAAAGTGTAACAGACAAATAAAGATTCAAGTGTTGACATCATAACTCTGCATAAAGGACATGTCTGAAACGATGTTTCAATGTTAATATAACCTTTCTAGCCCTGATCAAGTAATCACAGCAGCTCAGCAGAACGGTCAGAGAACTGAACCTCAGGAGAGCCAAACAGCTACACCACAACTGCAGTTTATACAGGGTAAGACACAAACACTAACCCTGGGTCAAAATACTGAACCTCAGGAGAGCCAAACAGCTACACCACAACTGCAGTTTATACAGGGTAAGACACAAACACTTCATCTGGATCATGGATGTCTTAAACAAAATGTATTGAATAAAATAAATGTTTAGTAAACGTGTAAAAATCCTTAAAAAAATTAATATTTGTTGGTTTCATACATTTTTGAAAATGTTTCATCTACAAAAAAACATTTGATAGACTGAAAATATCAAGTGAAGCAACATGTAAAACGTCAACAAAAAGTAACTTTCTTTGTGCCTTGAATACAAGTGTATATAACATAATTCTTATTTTCAGAAATGTTTTCAAACATAATTTTCAAGGTGAATATTTAATGATTATTAATATTGTTATTATTAATTATTATAATATTAATTAAATATTATGACTTTGATTTGGAGGACAAGAGGTTTATAGAAATAACCAATCTTTTACCAACATTTGAGATATTTTTAAATCTAATATTTAAAATATAACATTTAATAATTATTATATTTAGTTATAATATGAATTCATAATATTCTAAATAATCATAATAATAGTTGTATTATTATTACATTATATTTAATTTTTTATTATTTTATTAGTTAAATTATGTATTTTTTTTTATTAATTTTTTTCATGAGTCATGGATATTGAATGGTTTTCTTAGCTTTCATAAAAAAAGAAATGATCTCATATCGTTTCAAAACAAAAATGAATGACATTAATACATGGATAAACATCTAAAGGGATCCTTTTCACAATTTCTTCCTGTTGTTTACGCCACGCTTGACTTTAATTTGGAGGACAAATGGCTTTTACAAATAGCTAAACTTCTTATACCAACATTTTAGAAAACTTTAAATAATAAAAAAATAAATAACTTTTAAATAATCAAACTTAAAAATAACCACAATAAACCTTAAAAAAGAAAATGCAAGAACATATATTTGAATGCTTTACTCATCTGCCACAATAATGTTTGCATATAAAGAAAACACACTGGATACTCAATTAAAACAGCAAATTAGCAGACATGCATGCTTTTTCTCTGTGTGTTCTTACAGATGGCTCTTGGAGCTGTAAGTCTAAAGGAAGGCAAGAGGATTTGAAGAAAACTGCCTCACTGGATCGTAAACAGAGTCCACCCCAGAGCCAGACCACAAAGATGAGGAGGTACGTGGATGTGTTTGTGGGATTGCATGCTGGCTTGCATACACACGTGTGCCAAAATGCTGCTTGGCTTTGCTATGGGTGGAGGAATGCTGCTTGGCTTTGCTATGGGTGGAGGATGTTTTAAAGATCAGATCAGTATGAGGTTTTTTGTTTCTGGCACATGGAACATTTCTGCATATGACTTGCTTTCACAGTTGTGTGTCTCTATGCTTGTGTGTATGTGTGTGTGGCTGCTGGCAGGACTGGGTCGTGTGAAAATGTTTTAGGGACACACCCATCAAAATCACCCACACCATCACAAGACACGCCACCTCCATCACCCAGCAGGTATGAGCCTTCCCTCCAACACATACTCAATCACATGGAGATACGTGTGTGTGTGTGTGTGTGTGTGTGGAGCATTTCAGTAATAGGCTACGAAAGCATTTGTGCGCCTCACTCAGACACAGAGACTGCGTCATGCTGTTGAACTGGCCTATAAGATTTATTGCATCTAATTTAAATGCAAAAGTACTTGTTTAAAGGAATAGTTCACCCAAAAATGAACATTTGCTGAAAATGTACTCGCCCTCAGGCTATCCAAGATATAGATGAGTTTGTTTCTACATCAGAACAGATTTGGAGAAATGTAGCATTCCATCACTTGCTCAACAATGGATCCTCTGCAGTGAATGGGTGCCGTCAGAATGAGAGTCTAAACAGCTGATAAAAACATCACAATAATCCACAAGTAATCCACACCTCTCCAGTCCAACAATTAACATCTTGTGAAGTGAGAAGCTGTGTGTTTGTAAGAAACAAAACCATCATTATGATGTTTTTAACTCAGGTTTCATAACATTGCTTTCTCCAGTGAAAATAGACTCATCTCATCTCATTTAGGACAGAAATATGCACAGATGAAGCACTGCTTACAAGCCAAAACAGTTCTAAACAAATATGTTGGTGGACTGTAATATAAGAAAACAACTGGGTATGAAAATTTTCACTGGAGGAAGCGTTATAGATCATGGACTGGTACTTTGTCCAGAAATTATTTAATTTTTCTTTCACCAGAAGCAATGGTTTCAAATTAAAACGCCTTAATGATGGATTTGTTTCTTATAAACATGCAGCTTTTCACTTCACAAGACGTTAAATTATGGATTGGAGTGGTGTGGATTTCTTGTGGATTATTGTGATGTTTTTATCAGCTGTTTGGACTCTCATTCTGACGGCACCCATTCACTGCAGAGGATCCATTGGTGAGCAAGTGATGCGATGCTACATTTCTTCAAATCTGTTCTGATGAGGAAACAAACTCACTCACTTTTTTCACTGAGAGTGAGTGAATTTTGAGCAAATTCACATTTTTGGTTGAACTGTTCCTTTAATGCATCCATTTGAAATGCAAAACTGTTGATTTAAGTTCAGCATATGATCCAAGTTGTGCCACCACGATTAGAAAGGCATAATCATGGTTTTCATTTCAGGAGTTACATAATCATGCTAAATGCTTAGATGCGCACAGTCCCATTTATTTAAATTGCGTGCCTGTATTACGTTTTTGCATTTGTTACCACTTTAAGGTCTGGGACACCACTGATTTCTTTTTTATTTATTTAAACCTCTAATAAACCTATAATAAAATTTTGAAGAAAATCGAAATTCAAACCAAAGAGATTTGTATTAAAAATAAAACATATGTAGCTTTTAAAAATATATAATAATGTTGGTCTCAGACTTTAAGACCCCATTTTGACCTATTTTATACTATTTATAATCCTACAAATATTAAAATTTTTCTTATTACTTTTCTTCTAAGACCTGACAAGACAAGAATGCTAGTTGTTAAAGTTTGACATGAATATATGGCTTTGTATGGCGCCCTCTGCAGGTCAGTAAGTGGAAAGAAGCTTTGCTCCAGTTGTGCACATCCGTTGGGTAAAGGAGCAGCTATGATCATTGAAAGCTTGGGGTTGTACTTCCATATTCAGTGTTTTAAGGTAATGCTCATTTGTGTTAGTCTCTCTATATGTGAGTAATTTGTACATCCTCTTATATGAATATCTGATGTGTTCTAGTGTGGCATATGTAAAGGGTTACTGGGCAACTCAAGTGCTGGAACTGACGTCAGAATTCGAAATGGACTTCTTAATTGTCAAGAATGCTACATAAAATCAAGGGGTGAGTCTTAATGTGTTTTAATTGTATCTTAAACATGATCCTAAATTGCAGGTTATTATAATTCCCCTTTTTTGGATTTTGTAAGATAAACAGGGAAACCTGTGAGTAAAATCTGTGTTCTTATGGCATTAGGTTTTAATTATTTAAAAACTTTCTTTGACTATGTGCCCCTATTGACTTTTTAGAAAATAAACTCTTAAAAGACTTTTCACAATCTCACTAGTTTAATTAATCGATATAGTGAGTTTTGTCTTTTCTGTCAAATTTCCACATTTCAAATTATGTACTGTGTTTAGAAACCTAAACTAGAAACATCTTGCTCAGCTTAATTTTATAGCTAGCATTTTATTTATCTTAAAGGGATAGTTCTCCCAAAAATGAAAATGTGATGTTTATCTGCTTACCCCCAGGGCATCCAAGATGTAGGCGACTTTGTTTCTTCAGTAGAACACAAACGAAGATTTTTAACTCAAACCGTTGCAGTCTGTCAGTCATATAATGGAAGTGAATGGCAATCACGGCTTTGAGAGTCAAAAAAGCATACACAAACAAAACCAAATGAAACCCTGCGGCTCGTGACGATACATTGATGTGTAAAGACACGAAACGATCGGTCTGTGCAAGAAACTGAACCGCATTTATATCATTTTTTACCTCTTATACACAGCAATGTCCAACATCCGGCGTGTGACGCGTGTACGTGCTCTGGCATAGTAGACATAGATATATATAAGTAGATTCCCGCGGCCCATAGAAACAGTCACTAATGAGGCATCTATGTATATATATCTATGTCTACTATGTGTCACGCATCGGTTGTTGGACATTGCGGTGTATAAGAGGTAAAAAATTATATAAATACTGTTCAGTTTCTTGCACAGACCGATCGTTTCGTGTCTTTACACATCAATGTATCGTCATGAGCCGCAGGGTTTCATTTGGTTTTTTTTGTGTATGTTTTTTTGACTCTCAAAGCCGTGATTCCCATTCACTTCCATTATATGACTGACAGACTGCAACGGTTTGAGTTAAAAATCTTCGTTTGTGTTCTACTGAAGAAACAACATCACCTACATCTTGGATGCCCTGGGGGTAAGCAGATAAACATCAAAATTTTTGGGTGAACTATCCCTTTAAATTCACACAATTAAATATTATAATGTATTTTATAATTACAATTTAATAATATTTGATATTTGCACTTTTTACATAATTTGACAAAATTACATTAGAAGAGAAGAACAATAGAAATAGTGCATTCAAGTGATATTTGCATTGATTTTTCTTTGTTTTCTTCACACATCACATGACATAATTCATATCAAGCTCTTCATTGACATTGTCTCATTGGTGGTCCACTATTTGTTATTTATTTTTAGCAGTAAAAAACAAATACAATTTTTTGTAGTAATTTACCATAAAATATTTTTAATTAAAGTAAAAATGTATCATAGTTTTTAAAAATGTGATAATATGATTTTCTGGTACCCTTGTTATGGTACAAGTGTAGAACAATCCTAAACATCTTTTCAGAACAGTTTTAATGTGCTCCTTCCTTGCAGCTGCTGGCCAGCCAACAACATTGTGATGCCTCTGCACTTCTGACAAGGAAATGGAACTGAAATCTTAAACCAACCCAGGACCATAACCAAGAAAAACAGATTTTATGTTTATACGACGTTTCCAACTGTTTTCCTTACAGCACAATCAAGCATAGACATTAATGTCAAAACTGGAATCATGGACAAATGATGGGTTTTCCTCTGGACTTTATTTGACTGTCTTTGCACTCGCTGAAATATGACCTTATCGCTTACACGATAAAGAGTCCATAGAATATTACAGCGATTACAGCAGTCTGTTCATACTGCTAGAATAAGAAGTACTGGTAGCACTTTACCTCACAGTGGCCATGTTACACACATTTCAATAACGATAAGGCCTGAAAACGCTTTACGCAAAAAAAGATGTGCTTTCTTGCATTAATGTGCACTATCAAACCTCAGTACTAAAGGTGGTGATAGACATAATGTCAAATTTCTGTGTCATTAACTCAAATAATATTTAAGTAGCCACCTGCACTCTCACAACAGTTGGGGCAGTACCTTCTCAAAAGGTACTAATATATACCATTTAGGTACCTTAAAAGTACTCATAGAGAGCGTATAAATGTTTATAAAAATCTAAAACCAAGATTCTCTTAAAACTGTTGCAGATATTTCATTTTCATAGTTGGCAGATATTTCATTTTATTAGATGTTTTAGCCAGTGGCATTTTTTGAAGTGTGAAATTGACACTATAGTTTAGTATGCTCACTACTGAGGGTGCATAGCTAGAAGCATCTGCATTCGTGTACTTGTTTAGAGGATGTTTTTGGCCTAACAGCAATGACATGGAATTCTAAACTTCCACAAATTAACTACATGTTGTTCATGAGTATTGCTCAAGAACTTTCTTATGTAAATGCATTGTAACACGGGCACTGTAATGTAGAGTGAGCCTGAATCCATTTCTGTTGTGGAACATGAGGTAGCACAAGCATCCAGTTTTCATTCAAGAAAATGTTCATCTATTATTTTATCAATAATAAATCATCTCAGTTTTTGTAAAGGCCTTGCAGGTATGTTAGGCAACTGTTATTCCACTAACAGACGAACGCATGATGTTGTGCGACTCTTAGGCCTAGATGATTTGTCCTGAAGCCTTAACTGACAACACGAAATGAATACAGGTAAGATTGTCCATCACTTTTATTTATGGTTTGAAAACATGAACTGGAGTGGTTTTGATTGAAACGTTCTGTTCATTGCCTGTTTTATCTTGTTTGATCAGTGAGGGGTTTGACACTTTATTTGTGCAGTATTGTTTAACACCATGTAGACAGCATGTTGCTAAGGGTAGATCTTACATTTCCATTTGATTATTTTTCAAACTTTGTTATTAGTATTTACGTTTTGCCTCTGCAGTTGAGTGGTAAGAAGATTGCATGATCCCTGAAACTTTACATTACAATGTCCATGTTACAAGCTACTAAAATGAATGACTAAAGTAATAACATAAACTGTGCAAAGAAGCTCCACATAATCAGAAGTATATTATGTAATAAACACTGTAATGTAAAGTGTAATCCTTTTCTTTTAGCTTTTGAAATGATTCCGTTACAATCGGTTTAATGTGTTCTGTTGCCTTTCTCTCTTCTGCAATGTTGTGCCTTAGAAATGTGCTCCTAGATAATGTCTAGCGTCGGCCACCCTTGCATCCAAAGCTTCAATTTACCAATGTGTATTGGTGAGAGTATTATGCATATGCACTGAGCACTCTGCTTTTACCCTTGTACTTTATTCGAACACCATGAATGTGCGAGCAAGAGATTTAAAAATGAAACTCACACCCTCTGTAAGCTCTTCACTCATGTGCATTTAGACATGTACAATTGTTAAATATCTATATTTATCTAAATCAACTGGAAAGGAGTTCAATCCAAATATCAAATTCAACAACAAGGACAGATTGCATTCAGCAACACTATCATATAATTCTGCTTTCTAACTTCTGCTTATGCTTTCTGTTAATAATTGAGATTAAAAAACATTGTCATTTAGATCCGGGCGGTTTTGATTGTTGCTTGTATATGGTTTGTTTTATTTTGTGGCATTGTTAGAATATGAACTGAAACAGAAGGCAATAATTACTGGTAAGAGTAGCCAAGGATGAGTGAGATGTGTGTGACAAATACTTTCATATTCTGTATTTATTATACCCTTTTAAAAATTAGCGATATAAGACAACCTACAAGACGCTGAAATGCAATGGCTTTTATAGCAAGTGTATGTTTTTTAATAAACTAATAAACTGTTTTAAATGCACTTGCATTTGACCCACATGCTTGTGTTTGTGACTGTAATATGGTTTTATATATATATATATATATATATATATGTGTGTAACTGTAAATCTAAATATTTAACTATATTTATCTCTTCCAGAACATAAGCAGTACACGATTACAGTGTTAGCTGATTATATGACACTTTTTTTCTATTCAGCTTCATTTATTTGCATTTTAATAAAATCAATAAAAAAATGTCTAGTATCTCTCCCATATGTATACAAACTTTTTTTTGCATGAGGTTCTAACAGATAAATAACATAAATGTGGTAAATAAATGGCACTATAGAGATCTATGCAGTGGGTTCTGAGGGTTTGAACTCTTTCACTGCTCAACACATGCAGGGAGTTGCTGCACAGTGAGTTTGGTGACCTCTTGACCTCTGTGCGAACAAGGTCAATTCGTCTGGAGCCTGGTCCTCTCTGAGATTGCTGTTGTCCTGTTTGTGGTCTGGGTTTCGGGTAAGGGTGGGTTGTGTGCTGTCTGGGTCAGGGACTGTCATCGTTTTGGAGCTGTCGAGGGAAGGTGAACGGTTTGCTTTAGAAGATGACTCAATCCATGGAGCTGCACGCTCCTGTTTGCGAAATTTAGCGCGCCTGTTCTGGAACCAGACCTGAATAGAACAGAATAAAATAATGAATACATACACTTGTCTACATGGTAAGGTACGTTGCTCTAGTTTATGAAGGGGGTCTTGAGGTCTCTTAAAACCAGTGTTGGGGAAAGTTACTTTTAAAAGTAATGCATTACAATATTGCGTTAATCCATAAAAAAGTAACTAATTATGTTACTTAGTTACTTTTTATGGAAAGTAATGCGTTACGTTACTTTTGCGTTACTTTTTAAATCTGGACAGGGCTTGCTTGTTTGTTTTTAAAATAAAAAAGTTCTATTTTTGGCAAATATAAAAGCTTTTTCACACCAAAAGTGAAATGAATAAGCCTCAGGCTGAAGGGAAAGTAAATTTACGTCCGTACAGTAGAATGCAGAAGAAGACATTTCAACACATTTCAGCAATAAAAAAGACACACAAATGTTGTCTAGAGTAATTTTTGCTTATTAGTATGGTTGATACGTAACTTGCATTACTTGTAATGCGTTACCCCCAACACTGCTTAAAACACAGTTGAAGAATGATCAGTGCAGAAGCTCAGGTACCTGAACTCGAGCTTCAGTAAGGTGGATCTCCTGTGCGAGCTCCTCTCGCGTGTAGATGTCTGGATAATGCGTCTGTGAGAACACGCGCTCGAGCGCTTTCAGCTGCGGGCTCGTGAAGATGGTGCGCACGCGTCTTTGTTTGCGTCTCTCCTGGACGCCTCGTTCATAACCCAGAAGATTATGATGAACTGGAAATTGAATGGCATTTTAATTGAACACAAATATTTATGTTTTATAATAAGTAATTGGAGCAACTGTGTACGCTATAACGTTCAAAAGTTTGGGGTCGGTAAGATTTTTAAATGTTTTTGGAAAAAAACATGAAATATTTTAAAATGTAATTTATTCCTGTGATGACAAAGCCTTTTCTTTTTCAGCATCATTACTCCAGTCTTCAGTGTCACATGATCCTTCAGAAATCATTCTAATACGCTGATCTGGAATATTCTGTATTTATTATAACCTTGTATACAAATGAGCGATATAAAGACAACCTACAAGACGCTGAAATGCAGTGGCTGTTACCGCAAGTGTATGTTTTTAAAATAATAATAACTATTTTAATATATCTAATATAGACTAGCATTAATCTTTTATAGGAATGCAATTTCAAGAAAGAATGTTGCTCTGTGTGCAGTTTTCGTTAACGTTAGTTGTAAATCTAAACAGAGTAAACATTTCTTACAGAACAAAAAGCAGTAAAACATTACACTATATGTTGACTGATTAAATGACACTTTTTCTATCCGGCTTAATTTGTTTGCAGTTTAGTTTTAATTTATTTGCATTTTAATAAAATAACAAAATCAGTAACTGTAAACGTCACGGGTGTCCCATGATACTTCAGAAATTATTTTCATATGAAAAGAAAATAAATAAATGTTAAAAACACACAAAAAAATAAATGTTGAAAACCGTTGTACTGTTTATTTTTTTGTGGAATTCGTGATACTTTTTTTATATATATATATATATTCTAAGACGTTCAAAAGAACGGCATTTATTTAAAATAGATGTACAGTAAAAATGTAAAATCTTAACTGTCACTTTTTATCAATTTAATGCATCCTTGCTGAATAAAAATATTAATATCTTTAAAAAAAAAATGAAAAAACAACCTAACCAAAGCTTTTGAACGTATAAGGGAACCTATTAAAAAGGTTAACCTATGAAAAAAAAGTATTAGCTTTTTTTCTGTAGTGAAATGGTTATAGCTGTCAAGTTTCAAGTTTGAAATCTTAGCCAAATGCAAACAATTACATCTTTAATTAATTTGATATACTAATAATTATGATTAAAGCAAGGACTAACCTGTTATGTAGTGTGAGGGTTGATGAGAACCAGGCGCAATGAAATGGCAACTGGTTGTGTTTCCTAAATTGCACCTGTTATATTGAAAGCTGAAGGGCTGACTGCAGGAGCTGAACTCCGTGGAGCGGCTAGAGGTTCGGCCAGTGTCCATCCCAGACTCGTATGCAGTGGAAGTCAGGTAACTGAACTCCATCACTGCTGCAACACTCGCAAAGTCTCTCTGGTGCAGTCCTCGGAACTGTTCTTATGTGAGGGCTCCATGGCTTTTATTAGCCCTGAAGTTCAGCTGATAAAGTCTCTCACTGACACGTGGCGGTGGGTCTCATTGTATTATGCTTTTGACATGTCTCTCCATCATCTCTGCCTCCACCTGCATTATATCAGCCAGCAGCATTATGATTGCAGCCTGTTACAACTACATCTATATTTTTGCATTTCAAATCTCTACAAACTGTTTCACAAATCACATATTCATTCATTCATTCTCACTCAATAAAATTATGAGAACGGTCCACACCTCTGAAGTCAAGTGGGATTTGTTTTACACTTACTGTTTGAAATATTTTTTTTTCATAAAAAATCTAACATTTTATATTCAGTAGATAGGCTATAGGCTATGCGTTTAATTTAGCATACAGTTTATATTACACACATTGCAGGCAATAGAATTACAAGCTGAAAAGAATTTCAGAAGATAATTACATACATTATGTATTAATAATTACATATAATATAAAAATTGGCTACTTAGGGCTTAAAACCCTTTACGTTTCTTGAAACGTTTTTTGTGTGGGTTAATGCACATTTTCGTGGTTTCATGCCGCTTCAGATTTGGTTTCTGTGCCGCCATTGCTGCGTAAAGATGCCTGAAGTTCTTTATCGAGGTTTTAAGCCGTTTTGTTTATATAGGCTGAAATTTATTTGTTCTTACTTAGTTTGAACCTTGCATGACATTTGACATGAACTATAGTCAAAGAGTTATTGTGTGGTATAAGCAGTGTTGGGGAAAGTTACTTTTAAAAGTAATGCATTACAATATTGCGTTACTCCATAAAAAAGTAACTAATTACGTTACTTAGTTACTGTTTATGGAAAGTAATGCGTTACGTTACTTTTGCGTTACTTTTTAAATCTGGACAGGGCTTGCTTGTTTGTTTTTAAAATAAAAAAGTTA